GCAAATACTTATAAAATAACAAAACCATAAAAGTTAAACTCCACAGAGTAGCATTTGAACTTGGTGAGTTTACAGAGAAGTAGAAGTATACTACTTTAAAATGTGCGTGGACTCCAAAGTATCCTCACTACCGGAAAGTGTCTTCTGTCAATTACGTTCAGTCCTCAAATTTGAAAGTTACGGCAGCAACCTCTGCCCGAAATATGGAAACAGTAAAAATTAGCCTCGATGTAAAGCAGGAGAGAGGAACAGAGTCAGGATTTTTGCCCACCCTGTGCTAAAGTCCTCTAAGCGCCTTAACGCTGTCTCCCAAGGAGAGTGTTGCTGAGACTGAGATGGGGGTCCGCTCCTTTACGTTGTCGTTTTAGCTCCGGCCGGGAGGCTGGGTCAGAGACGGCCACGCCGCCCTCAGCGGGAGAACGCAAGGAAAAGCAGACGGGCGCCCTCCCCGCCCCCTCCTCGGCGCCCCGCGGCGTCTGGGTCGCGCCCTGCGCCCTGGCTGCCCGGGCGTCGCCCCTGGGTCCTGCCCCCTCGGGGCTCGGGCCCGCCCCGCGCCGGCGGGCCGAGGTGTCCCGGCTGCTCCTTGGCGCCCCCTGGCCCGGCGCTGGCGCCCGAGGTTTCCGGTGAGCGGCAATAGCCGGTTATGACGACTCCCTCCTCGCGAGCAGCCGCCGTCTGCTCCTTGTCCTCCTCCGTAGCCCCGGTTCGCCGGCTCCAGGTGGGACTCGCCCGCTCCCCTGCCCGCCGCGGCGCGGCTTCCCGGAGGGCTGCGGTCTCTCCACCGACTGCGCCCGCGCCTTCCCACCCGCCGCGGGCCGGGGCGGCGGGCGTCGGAAGCCGACCCTGGCTCTCCCGGGCCCCGGGCGCCCGGCGCCTTCTCGGTGCGCGCAGCGGAGCGCAGAGTTCCCGGGGCCCGCCGGCCCCCCGGCCCGCGTCGACGCGGTTGCTCAGGCGGGGCCAGAGCCGCTCCCCCAGGCCCCTCCCAGGCGCGCCGCGGTCCCGGGTGGCGGGTGGATCCCGGGGATCCCTGCGCCCCCGAAGCAGTCCCGGGCGGCGCCTGGGGTCGCGAACCCGAGCGCGGCATCTTAGCCGCATCAGGGCGCTTTCCGCCGACCCCGCTGCCTCGTGCGGGGACTGCAGTTACAGCGGGCAGCTGGGGGACTCCCCCTAGACATCTCGGGCAGCCGAGCCCTGCTTCGGACCCGCCGTGAGACTCTGTGGCACAAGTGGGGGCCAGCCGTTTAGGAGTCATTCTAGGTCTCGGATGCGTTGAACTTTTCATTTGTCCCCTGCCTTCTCCAGACTTCTCCAAGCTCTGCCGCATGCACCGCCCCATGTTGTCCACCGTGTCCCCGTCAACCCCAGGCTTCACCTCTCAACAACTCTTTTTTAAACGTATTTATTTATTTGTTTTTGTATAAATTTCTGGGGTACAAGTGTCATTTTGTTACAGTGATTTACTGCATAGTGGCGAAGTCAGGGCTTTTAGTGTATCTATAACCGGAGTCATGTACATTTCATCATCTTTCAGAATTTTCCCCTTTTTTCTCCCTCGCCCCCGCCTTTTAGGGCCTGTGGAAGTCTAATCAAGGATACAGAAGCGGAGTGAGCCCAGCAGCTTTTGCAGAAGGCAAAAGTAGCGTAGCCACAGAGGCTTCCCTGTGCTGGAGAAGGGCATCCACCCATCCCGGCGGGCCTTGCAGGAGGATTCAACACCAGGAAGCTTTCTGCCAGGCCCCGGGGGTTGTGCTTTCATGCACCAGCAGCCACCCTCATCCACCTCGTGCAAGTGGGTACGTGCCCGGGGCAGAGGCCAGGTTTCTGATGCGTCTGTAGAGTTTTCCCATCGCCTAAGCGTTTCTTCTCCAGGAATAGGTGAGTTTAGTTATGGCCAGAGAGAGCTCAGTGGAGGACAATGGACTTGAATAACCAGAGGTCAGGACTTGGTCATAACAATGACTTTATTACGGGGAAGGAAGTCAAGGGGAAGGAAAAGTCAAGGGATAGGACAGCCTGCCTGTGAACCTTAAGGCTCACCAGTCTAGCACTGTAACTTCAGCGAGCAGAATTACTGCAGGGAGAACCTGGAACACTGTTTGCTCCTAGGAGTGTTTGATCCACTGGGTATCCCGTGGATGCCTGTGTAAACTGGTCCGCCTCCTTCCCGCTCACCCTTGGAATCTGTTCTGTTAGGTTACTGTGTTGGGGTCATGCCTGTAACTTTGCCTTTAGCAGTATGGTAGTCATTAAGGAAAAGAAAGAGCATCCTGAGCAAGGCCTGCCAATTGGGGGTTGTCTCGTTATTTTCTCTCTTAAGACTTCCTTTAATTCAAAATATCACCTGAAGGATAAATTCTAACTGTAGCATCCTTTTAAGGTGATATGTTTCATTTCTGACATGTTTTAGAGACCTGAAACATCACAAAAGCTTCTGGGTGGTTCTCAGGATTAAAAAGGTAAATATTTTAATTATAAGTAGAGACATTGTTACTATTAATATGTATTTTTAAATTTTATAAAGTGGCTATCAACTAACTCTTAGATAAAAAGTCCAGTTAATTATCATAATATAAATAAGCAATTACAATGCAAATAATTATAAAATAACAAAACCATAAAAGTTAAACTCCACAGAGTAGCATTTGAACTTGGTGAGTTTACAGAGAAGTAGAAGTATACTACTTTAAAATGTGAGGTTTGGTTGAATATGGCAGTTTGTTTCTAAAGGTCCTGTCGTCATAGCCCATAGTCGATGAAGACCGATTTGGAAAGCTGGCTTGCCAGTGTGACCCAGTAGACAGCAGGCCTCGCTGAGAACACCCAATGTGTATTACGGCTCCGCATCCAGTGGAAAGAGGACTTAAAAGAAAAAAAGAGCAAAGATACCACTAAAGTGAACTGAGAATGACGTGATTATTGTCTGGGATATATAGGAGAAGTCTGGTCCAAGAGATCGAACCCTTATTGAGTGAGTTAGGAATGCAGTAAAGTTCGTGACCATTATTACTTTTTGCAACGTTAAGGCAGGACAGGGGAGAGTTTAGGGGCACAGTCTTTGAAGCAGAATGCTTGATTTCACTCCTGGAGTTTCCTAGTTATTATCGTAGGTGATTATTATGCCTACTAGAATGTAAGCTTCACAAGGGCAGTGAGTTTAGTCCACCACTGCCCCTTCGTTGCTGCATCCTGGCTCACAGGGTGTACTCACATGTTGACTGTGATTATTATTTTTTATTCAGCAGGCATACACAGGCTCGGAGTCAATCCATCTCCTTTTCTCTCTTACTGGCACATCTTCCTCACTCCTCATCATGCAAGTCTCAGCTCAAATGTGAAGCGTGGCCCCCTCTCTGCCCCACATGGCTTTAAACAGTTACTTGTTAAACATTTACATAGCACTTAGTGTGTGTTGGCTATGTTTCTAAACACTTTACCAATAATTAACTCATTTCACTCACAGCTGCCCTGTGAGGAAGGTTTATTATTATTTCCATTTTACAGGTGGGAAAGCTGAGATGCAGAAAGGTTAAGTGACTTGCTCAAGGTCATGCAGCTAGGAAGCTGCACATAGGGGCTCAAACCCAGGTGGCTGAGCTTTAAAATTCAGGTTCTTATATGCCATGCTATGTTGTTTATCATATTACCTTATTTAATTTCAGACATCAGAAAACTGGATTGCATCAAAGCCCTCCCATTTTTGTAAATAAAGTTTTATCAGCACACAGCCTCATCCATTCCTTTACAATAGACTATGGCTGCTTTCTGGACAAAGGCATTGTTAAGTAGTAGCCACAGAGATATTTCCTATCTCTCCTTTACAGAAAAAGTGCTAGCCCCTGATTTATTTGATTCACAGCCCTTGTCAACATCCGAAGGTGTTTATTTGATTGTTTATATGTGATTCTTGTACTAGGTTACAAGCTCCATGAGAGCAAGGCTCTTTCCTGTTTTGTTCACCTCTGTATACATGGCTCCTAACACAGTGCCTGGCACATAGCAGGTGCTCAGTAAATGTTTGTTTAATAAAGGAACATTACTCAGTGATGTAGCAGAATGCTTTGTAATTATGTTTAGCTCTTGTCTGTTTTCTTTGACTTTTAAAGGAAATTTCTTAAGGAGTTTTCAATTTGATCTCTAGGTTTGGTGGTTGCTATGTTAGTGCTGCTTGTCTTTGGAGTATTGCTTTATGAAGTCCCACTGAGTGGCCAAGATGAGACTCCTCCCGAGGCTGGAGAACCTCTGTATAACTATGCCAGCATCCGCTTGCCAGAGGAGCACATTCCCTTCTTTTTGCACAACAATAGGCACGTTGCCACCATCTGTAAGAAAGACTCACAGTGTCCATATAAGGTAGGTATTATTCTTATTTATTTTTAAAAGGGTACAATTTAGGCTGGCTTACTGGTTCTGCTTTATAACCTGAAACTCAAGGTAAAATTCTAACTTCTGGTTGTCCCTGAGAGACATTGTTTCAGTTTCATCTAATAGTTACTTCTAAGTGACTAAACTTTGCCTAAAATTGTATTTCATTCACAAGAGTGAAATTTAAAATCTAAATCACTTCTAAAATAAATAGGCAGCCAGTACTACTTACAAAGCAAAGGAGATTTTATGCAGAAAAGAACATCTCGGTTAAAAGTAACTAAGAATTTCACACCTCTTCTTTCTTAAACTGCACATAGAGGGTCACTTAGCACTTAATTTCAGTAATAACACCTCTAGCCTCTGTTTCCACGTAATTAAGACTGTTACTGTGGCCTTCCTTCTGTCTTTGAGGAACTGGAAAGGCCTCAAATAGGAGCCCATTAAGACGTCTCACACAGCCTTAGAGATCAAAGCTGGGCATTGTGAGACGCTTCCTTTCCCATGGTCCTGGCACAGGAAGCATATGGAAAAGCAGACCTGGGAATCAGCCCAGCATTGCCCCTGGGGCCTTGTAGAAGGGCATTCTCAGCTCCCTGGCCAGCAGCAGCTGTGCGTTTCCCAGGGGCGGTGAAGTTGCCTTGTCTTGTGTGGTCCTTGCTGATCTTGATTGATGGGTAAAGTTGCTGATGCGTTCAATTTAGCTGTGATTCTTTTGGTAACAGACATTCCAATTTATTAATATGTGACTTTTAAGGCACTGATTTTTAGAATCAGTTTGCTTGCTAAGACAGGCAGTCTCTTAAGCTACTTTAGGAAATTCTAATTCGAGTGGTCTTTGGTAGTCTAGATGAAACCTAGATTTTTGGATAGGGGACAGATATGGTGGGGGTGGTGAGTAGGTACAATTGTTAAGAACCTTGAGCCCATGCTTCTTAGAATTTACTCTAGTTATTTTTATTACAAGAATACATATTGTTAAATGTAAACATGAAAGTTGTATAAAAATTTTGTTTTCTGAATGGAAAAATCTGAGTCTTTTCTAAAGGTCAAAGGAAGGGAAAGCAGTCTAAATGTACATATTTTATGTTCTAGAAACACTTAGAAAATCTGAAGTACTGCTGGGGTTATGAGAAATTCTGCAAACCAGAGTTCAGGTTTGGTTACCCTGTTTGCAGCTATGTTGACATGGGATGGTAAGTTTCCGTGTGGAATACTCTCTTTTCTTTAAGTCCTCTTCTTTCTCTGTAGTGTTTGTTGATGCCCTAATTCCCAGCTAGACTCTTTTGGTTTTAGATAGTAATTCCTTTAGATATTAATTTGCTTATAGAGTCATGAATTCAATTTGACAGTCCTACACCAGGATAGGAATTCCCTCTGCCAGAGGGAGAAAACAGTCTGGACCATAGAAAATATGTCCCCCTAGTGTATGCTAAGAAGACAAATGGATGGTTTCCTCTTCCACTGGGGAGAGGTTGAGTGTAATTAGTACTTCTAATACATGCAAGGTTAGTGCGGTAAAGAAAATATGGTAATTAAGAATGCATCATTGTCTGCAGTTCCAGATGATCCTAACTTCATACATTTCTGTTGTCTATTTTTATGATAAGAAAATAAATCTGTGAATAACTTATTTTGGTAACTTCATGTTGCCAGGGATAGTTTTGGGAAAACTATGATAGTATACTTTTCAAAAATTAAAATAATAACAGACTGCTAGCAGTTTAACCTTTGGAAAAAATGTTCAAGGTCCAGAAAAAGCAAAAAGCCAAAAAAAAATCATAGAATCTTTTTCTTTGAAAATAGGACAGACACTCTTGAGTCAGCTGAGGACATATTCTGGAAACAAGCTGATTTTGGATATGCCAGAGAGCGGCTGGAGGAGATACATGTGCTCTGTCAGCCCAAGGAAACGGTGGGTGTTTAGCTCCTTGTTTATTTTTATTACTTATTATGGGTGATTTATTTTTATTATTTATTGTTTGGATTATAACATAAAAACAAGACAGATGGCCCTGTGAAAGGAATCCCTCATTCTCATTTATTGGTTTCAAATTTTATTTAACTTCCTCAAATAGGTTGTTCTGTTTCCTTTGGAAGCCTTGCCCTCTTCATCACACATATATCAGATAGACATATTTTCTTAGACAGTTAAAATATTTTTAGGTTTAGAATCTGCTCCTTCCGCATGCCAACATATGCTAAAGAAGAGAAATTGATAAATTGCAATTTTACAAATTCATTCTCAGAGGATATACCCCCACCACACTGCTCTGTGTTTGTTCAGCACTTTACACTTTGCAGAAGCTTCTCTGTGTGTTGTCTAGTTTGGTACTCATAGGCATTATAGCAGATAGGCAGAGCAGATATCTCTGATGCTGCTTTACCAGAGCTGAAAACAGGGTCCTCAGAGAAGTTAAGCAACTTCTCCAAGACCACACAGCTACCCTGTAGAATTACGCATCTAGAATTAAGATGCAGATCTTTTTATAGTGTACTTTCAACCATCCCACGTTGCACCTCAATGGGTCAGACAAACACATTGCAAAGAGGCTATTTTGGGTAATAAGTACATGAGCAGGCTCTCAACTGTGGGGTTCAAATCTTGACTCTTGGACAAGGTACTCAACCATTTGTGTTTCAATTTCCTCTGCTTTGAAGCCATGCCCATTCTGTAGCATTATGGTAAGGATGAAATAAGGTTCTGTGTATAAAGATGCTCAGTGCAGGCCCTGGCTCCCAGCAAAGGGCTCAGTGTTATTTTATAAAGGTTGATGGAGTTTTAAGCGCTTAGGATTAAGGCACATGATTCTTTAAGCCGGTGATCCTGAACCCTGAGTTTCTGCCATCTCAGGGGTCTCTGTTATCTCCAGGCAATTTGGGAAACTAAAAAAAAGTTTTAATTTACTTGCATTCAAAAACTAAATATTTGCTTTATAGTGCAATTGGAAGGTGTCACATAATAGAGCTCTGAGCATTCTAGCAAGGTGGACAAAGCCCGAGGACGGGAGGCATTAACCTGCGCTGCTGCAGGGTGCCTTTAACAGATGTTTGTTTTACCGTGTACCCTTTGGCTGGAGTCTGGCTGTTCATGTGGAAAAGGCAAGGGAAGAGCCACAAACCACCCTGCACACCTCGTTCAAGGTGGTTTGTAAGATGCGTTTTAGGCCAAGATTTATCTTGATATGTTTTGTGTTATCAGAGTATGAGCCCCGTCTCAGTTGTTTAGGCTGCTGTAGACTGGGTGGCTTATAAACAACAGAAATTTATTTCTCACAGTTTTGGAGGCTGCAAGTCTGAGATCAAGAGGCCAGCACCGTCGGGTTCTGGGGAAGGCTGTCTTCTGGGTTGCAGACTGCCGACTTCTCGACTTCTTGTTGGAGAGCTCTCAGGGGTGCCTTTTAGAAAGGCACTGATCTCATTCATGAGAGCTCCCCCTTGTGACCTGATCACCTCCCCAGAGCCCCATCTCCTAATGCCATCACATTGGAGGTTAGGATTTCAACATATGAATTTTGCAGGGACACAAACATTCAGTCCATTATAATCTTTTACCAGCTATAGACTCCAAAATGCCACGCAGGTGAAAATTAAGGCCTCATTCACGTGCACTGGAAGTTTTAGGGAAAATAATAAAATAAAATAGCACTTAAGTCTATAAATAAAATCCAGAGCAGATGAAAGTTTTTGAAGCTTTCTTACTTTCAGCACAAACCAGATTGGTTGAAATAGAATCAGGCTCTGGTAGTTGATGTTTAAGTTCCTTTATTCAGTTATTTAGAAAATACTGCCTTCGTGTTGTTGAGACAGAGGCTCCCACAAGTTTTGCAGTTTCCAGAAAGTACCTCTTATTAAAACTGGCAAACTGCGCCCCCTGCCTTTAGTGTCTCTTACATGTGCCTTCCTCCTTGTTTCATTTGGCTTGTCTTTGAAAAATGCTTTTTCACATAGCTGTGTGGGCAGTACTGGTTCTGAGTGAGGTCTCTTTTTTTTTTAAAGGGGACTGAACTGAACCACCTGTATAGCTCTTGACTTTAAAATTTGGGGTGATACAAGCAGAGCCTTTGGGAGTTCTTCATAATAACATAAACATGTGGAAACTGGCAAAAGTATGCTTGGCCAGGCCGGGCGCGGTGGCTCACGCCTGTAATCCTAGCACTCTGGGAGGCCGAGGCGGGCGGATTGTTTGAGCTCAGGAGTTCGAGACCAGCCTGAGC